AAAGCGAGCAGTGTTGGTAAGCGTAGGTAAGCCACCACCGTCAACTGCAGCATGGTATTACCATCACGAGTACGTAAGCCGCAAACGGCGACTGGTAGATGGTACCGCCATCGTGAGTGCGCGAGCTCCTATCAGAAATTCGTTGCGCCGCCCTTGGGGACAAAAAACGGTGAAAGCTAACGTACGAAACCAGAGGGCAGCACAGGATGCGATCGCACGACCCTGCCCGTGAGCAATCTCCCAACTCATCTCTGTTTCTGGTAGGGGATCGCGCACTCGCGATGGCGGTGCCATCTACCAGTCACCGTTGGCGGCTCACGTACTCGTGATGGTAATACCATGCGGCAGTTGACGGTGGTGGCTTACCTACGCTTACCGACACTGCTCGCTTTTGATGGTAAGGGAAAAACACTCGTGGCGCCCTCTTTGACTCTACTTTTCATTTACCTTATTTATTTTATCCGCAAATAATACAGGCAAAACTACAACGTGGTACTCGAAGGTTGAGTTATACCTTATATACAATTTTTATAAGCGACGGAAATTAATAAAAAAATAATGAATGTTTCCTAGGGAACACATAAAACCTAGCTGGAAGGAGATACCCAACAACATAGCTTGACGTAGTAGGTATGACGTCAGGTGTAACGTATGTGTCGCAAGTTCAAATTCTGAAGGAAGGGAACGGTGGGTACGATTTTTTACGCTAATTTTTTTTCGTCACGTTTTACAGTTCATAGCAATTGCACAAAAACGCTCCGCATCACGTCGACTTCGGGGCAACAATGTACTTTAAAGTTTTTTCATCTTTTTTTATTTTTCGCCGACTGGTGCGATACACGTCATTCACGACTCACGAGTTCGGTGCTTAACGATGTTATTGAAATTTCGTTAATCATTGTTTTACCGCGAGCCGGAATATTTCAGGACAAATGTGTTGCAGTAAAGTTACTAATGTACAGGACAAATACTTGAACCTTTAAATGTGAATTTTGAATTTGAAACTTGAATTTTTAACTTCCGAGCTCATTCTCAAAATGATTATAATTAAAATTTTTGGAATGAATTAGATAACGGCAGCAACATGGGTAACTAAATAATAATACTAACGATAAGAAAGATTGATAGTTATCTGACGGTACGATTTTAATTAATTTCACATTATTTATTAAAATCACCTTATGGACGGTGAAACAAATAATGAAGAGCTGAACCCGTAATCAAAAATTACATAACTGCAATTTTGTGCGATTGCTATGAACTGTAAAACGTGACGAAAAATATTTGCGTAAAAAACCGTACCCACCCTTCCCTTCGTTTCTTGAAAATCCTAATCTTTATTGAAAATGCTTTATTGAAAATACTAAATAGGTAACGATAAGGTACATCGTAATTTTGGCATAATAATTGGACAAAACACGATAAAAATAAAAGTATGATAAGAATTTTATTATCATATGTATAAATAATGTACAACTGAATTAATTTCTTTCGATTTTACGAATAGCAATGCGTCTCAAGCAGTCGAATTAGAACATTTGATTCATTCCTAGAACAAAAAAGGTTATTTAATATGTGTATGCATGTGTACAGAGTAAGTATTGTAAAAGGACAAAAATCGATGGAATTTAGTTATTGAGAAGACTCGCTCATATTTTAATAAACTGCAAAGTACGATGAATAATATTCCCACTGAAAGAACCATGTATGAACTGTATAGATTATCACGTTTGTGATCTAGTATTATTTTCCCATCTCTACCTCTGTTTGCTTATTTAATTGACCAAATTAGGCGTGCCTTTGCAACAACGATATTCTGTTTCTTTTTGAGGACTTTTCACTAGAGTCAAACTGTATGTAGCGTATGAAAAGGAATTTTTTGATGTTATAGTTATGAATCATGTTTATTTTATTATTGGACTTACTTGGATTTGATGAACTTGGTCTGTACATATTAGGAGGTATAAATCTTGGTGGAAACGGTAATCTAGCCCCAAACGGAATCCTGTTTCTCATCATGGGAATTTGCCCTCGCATTGGTAACATCGGACCCATCATCATAGGACGTGGAGGAAAATTCTATTCCAAATTATACATAAAAAGAAATTGAATAACGTGAAAATAAGGACCATAGTACTGACAAAGGAAAAAAGCTCACTCCGTAATAAACTGGAATCGGGACGTGCTCAATATAGTGATGTGATGGTGGTATCCCGATATCTCTTGATCGATCGTCCCTTCTATCGTGCGAATCATTTCTACTTCTTCGTCGACTGCTCCGATGAAAGCCTTCAGTTCTAAAAAATAAAGAATTGCTTCGTATTAATAATTCGGCATTTTCAATACTTTTGGTGATTCTAAATTTACTTTTCTATCTATTCAAATTCTACAGGAAAAAAAAATTAAAATGAAACGAAAGTTACACCGAAGTATTTATTTTTATGAATACAATGAGTCGTTAGAGTCTCATTGCATCTATTGTGAGTTTAAAATAGAAATTAACAATTTATAGTCATAAGCGTATCTTTAAGGACTTCACATTTTTTAAAATTCGGTACATTCAACTCCAATCGATGCCAACTTTGTTATGCACGGTAACGTTGCGGTTACGCTTAAAAACACATTATATGGAAGAAATAAAAATTTACGTAAATACATATAAAAAAAAACTAGATTCTTAATTTCTTATGAAATTGAAAAAAAAAATGGGTACATTTATAAAAAAGTTCTTAGTATTTACAGATTTACTAATCTGATAGATACGGTGGTATTTAAGTAAACATTTTAATAATTAATAATAATCATACCTTCTATTCGTATCGTGGGTATATTTTCGCTGATCTCGGTCCATTGATCGAGATCGCTCCCGAGATGGTGTACGACCTCGTGATCGATCGCTAAATCTTGAAGATGAAGCTGCCCTTCTCAATGTTCCTTCTCTGGATCTGTCGCGACCTCTGCTTTTTTTTGATTGATGGTCATTTTCTCTGAAACAGTATTTCCAAGTTTGCAAACATAGAAGAACGATAAGGATAGTGAGAAAACATATTGCATTACCTATCACTCCTCCTACTCCTGCGGGAATCCGATTTAGAATCTCTGCAACCTTCATCTCTGAAATATCATTAAAAAAAACGTGTAACATATGCCCTGAACAGTTGCTTTTGTTGGTTACACAAAATAAGATGTACATCTCCTACTGCTAGTGATTCCCCGAATTGAATTCATTTTGAATTATTGATCACTATCGATTAACAAATTGCAAAAAATTGTTCATTGTTCAATTCGGTGCACCACAAAGAAAAATTCGTATGTGTATATCATCCCAGTATGACTAATGGGTCAAGTGGTAAATAAGGTATCATAAATAATGCCGTATTCATCACTTTGGCTATAACACTTACATAGGATACAAAATGCTTGCACGAAAACTGGATAAATTTAAGGCCGTCTAGTCTTAAATGCAGGGACTACTTTTGAATATTTGGTTATTCTGAAGTATTATTAATATGCTAAAGGAATTAACACGTTGACTGCCACGGTGGTCACCAGTGACCGACAACCGCTTTGCAATAGTACACTCGTCATTTGTTTTGGCAGTCAATGTGTTAAGTAAATACTTTGAGTGGTTTATAAAAAAAAAAAAAAAACACTGTATTTAAGAAGCGATCTTGAACGTATCCAATCTTTCAAACATTAGTAGGCATGAATGCCTTCCTTTGCTACTATGGTGCAACTAGCGTATAATGGGAAGGCATTCATATTCTCCATTGTGCAATATTTCATGATACATATGTTTTTTAATGCAATACTCGGTGTATAGAATTCATATCCTAATGACGTTTACCCGTCATTTTTATTGACCCCTTGCGCTACATTGACGAGCTAGACTCATTCAGATAGAATGGCTTTATAATTAAATCGAAGCGCAAGGGGTTAAAAGAAATATCAAAGGTGTCGAAAACAAATTGATTTCGACATCTAAACTTTGATTATGATTTAAATATCTATTACCTTGAAGATCTTCTTTCTGGAATAAAATCAAGTAAATATTAACAATCTAACTGAATTTACCACCTCTCTAATATAAACCGCGGACAAGGATGCCTCAGTCGAAGCCGGAACTTTATTTTTGTACGTATTGAAATCTTGTCCACGTGAACATGGTGCGCCGTTGGCTTCGAGCAGATTAATTTGAGAGATTACTTGTATGCGTGGGGCTAGCACGAAGTTAAAATAATTAGTATTTCCAGAATTGGTTATGTATTGTGTTATTTCACAAGGTTTTTCCACTGGTTCAATTTGACCAATAAGAAAAAACCACATTACTTATGAGACGACCTAATATTTATAACTTTTTGCATATCTCTTATTCATATTCTTGTAAATACTGCTCCTTTACCACATTAAACCTTGTACTTTCAATTCTTTTGTATTTATATCTAAATTGTACATTTCTATTTTGTTTTTCAGGTATCAACACTAATAATTAAAACTGCATTACGATGTCAACCTGGGCAATTGTTTTAGTGACGAACGGGTTGTTCATTTTAAATGGACGTCGTAATTTATAGTAAATGTAATGGCTTTGCGCAGTAATGTTATTTTTACAAATTAGGTTATTCCGAATTTTAGAAATATTTAATTTAATCTTGTAGTAAACGTTTATGAGCATGATATAAAGGCTTCATAACTTTTTTATGTTCACTTTTGTATTACTTTTGAGATAGCCTTCGTGATATTAATTGAAATTACCTTACACATTACTGGAATTATAATGGTGTTTCAGAGTAGGAAACCAAATTCCTTCAAGTATTATTAATAAAAACTGACTTTTAACAACGTTTTGATACGTAAATTTCTATGTTGTTACTGTCTTCGTCGTTGTCATATCGTTGTCAATAAGCCAAGCGGTATATGTGATACAAATATAGCGTGCAGAAGAGCAACAAAATGCAACAAAGATATCAAATATGCAGAGTTGGAAATAATGCAGATTAATATTAACCCTTAAACTACGGCGAATCGGGTCTTGGAATGCGAATCAATAACATCTGTTTGCTGCTTTGAATACGTGATAAGGAAGATGACCACTACAGTGACATTTAGTTAAATGAACGTCACATACGGAAGCCACTATAGTGGCACTTTGTAGTTAAAGGGTTAACATAGTTAGTAAGTAAAGTGGCATGCTGTCACCGATTGCAACTTACCTTTTATGCGTGTTACTTTAAGGTTCATTTAAAACAATGGTATACAGAAGCAAAAATAATAATAGTTACTGCTTACCTCTTGATCGTGCTGTAAGGACCATTTTAAGACTTATTAACACAATGTTTTACTTACCTTATATTTAAAACAGGGTCAGTGCAGCACGTTTCTATTAGTTTTTAAATAAAAAAAATAATAAATAAGATATATAGAAGAGTGAAACAAATGCAACTAGAAAAGGTTGTACAAAATGAACATGTATTAACGCACAGAAGAAAGAAATTAAGCAATCTTACGTGATTTTCCAAGAAGAGCAACAGCACAACAGTGATTTTGTTCGTGCAGGTCCTCGAAATTAGTATCCGAGAAATATTTGTTTGCTGTCAACTGACACGTCTCGTCGACCTGTTTAGCTAATGAACAATTATAGAAAAAAAAAATAGAATAGTTTTTTTAGCATACGTCTGACGTACTTGTCCGTAATTTGAGGTTTTCTTGCAATTATAGAATTTAATATTAGTAATGTTAAATAAAAAAAATTTGAACAATTCTCGCCAACCATCTCGTGTATCGTTGGCTCATGTAACATCTCCATGTACACTTATTGTATTTAATTAAGGATCCAGTAATGCCAGACGCAAAATTCTGAATGATTTATGGGCCAGTTGCGTACACTTTGTAAATCTTGTTAGGATCTAACGATATCAATGAGGAGGCACTGTTGCCGGAGTTGGGCTACTTTCCGCTTCGAGCACTAGTTATACGTCGTGACGTCACTGCGCGGTAAACAATGCGCAGTGAGCAACTGACAGAAACAGCCAGCTACATGATCGTACTCATCGAGGCCATTGTAATGATATAAATGTCGATTTCTTTTGCTGTGTGGTACGATAGATATCTATTTTCTATTAAATTTTTTAGTAACAATGTCGTTATTTATTTACATGAAGTATGAAATTTTTTTCGAGACCCGGATCCCGATGACTAATGCTCGATATTACTGGGATGCGGCTGCTTGACATCAAAATTGGTTGCCATGACTACCGCGGTAACACAGCAATAGTATTTGCTACGTTACAGGCGTTGCCATTGGCAACACGGTCAACTTGAAATTTGTCAAGTAGTACCATTCCTCTTTAAGTTATTTCTCACTTTAGATATTGAACGACTAATAAAGTAATACGTCAAAAAATAGAACAATATCGGGTTAGCAAAGAAAGGCGGTGTTTTATATTAACCCTTTCATTACAGCAAAGTCAATCGTCAGTAAGATGTCGCTACACAAAGCAGTTGACTCGAGTTTTCACTTTACCATAAAGTGCAACATTCTGATACTTTGTTATAATATGCTACAATCAACTAAAATCGTTAACAAAATCGGAATTTTTACGAGTAATTATAATAACCTCTAGAACACAGTATGCCCTCAATGATGGATGACTATGGTTACCTTTAATAACAAAAAGTTTGAATTGAAAAATTTCAAATTTGCAATAACCTAGAAATTAACTGCAACACACTTGGATTTTTAAAATTATTATCCCCAACTATACACCACAAGGAAGTTATCAGAGGACAATCCTATGTTTTAGAAATTATACCATACTGTAGATATTAGTCTGCAACAGAATTCGTAAAGACTGAGTCTCCAACCGTTTAAGTCTCATGGGTCATTGAAAAAATATCGAAAAATGCCAAACAACGCAATGGCGCCGTCTTAGTTGAGCGCGAAGGGAGCCAAGAAACGCGATAGCGCTCGCTATTTCAGCAGACTCTAAGTACACCGTCAGATATCCATACCGTTCAAATGTACTGGCTTTTTTCGACATGAATTCTAAACAGCACGATCGCGCTGCTTGGGACTCAAACGGTTAAAATGTGGACAACAGTATCACTTTTAACCCTTATCACTCCAAGAATATTAGAAGACTATAAGAAGTTGGCAGTATTACTGCCGGTTGAAGTGATAAGGGTTGTGTTATGTTTTACGTACCTTTTAAATTGATAATTTGAAAGATAAATTGAAAATAAAAACCAAATTAGTATTTTTTAAGTCAATCTGGTCTTGGCCTTATATCTTTTGATATCAGAATTGATTTATATATTCTTTTTTACAGTAATACTTGTTATTGAGATTGATATACTCTACTAAATTTTTTGATAGCTGAATTTTATACTAGATATAAAATCATTAATGTTAATTCTCTAAACAAGAATGTATATAAATGAATGCAACACTGAATTATATCATCAGTAGCAATTTTATAAGTATTAAACATATCCATATTTTAAAATACCACAACAAGATTCCCAGTTTTAAACTGATTGACGTGTTTAAAAATCTCAAATATTGTATGCGAATAAATCAACATTTAAATACACGTACAGTAACAACACTGAACGTACGTGTCGTAATATAAAGAAAAACAACTACATTTATGCTAATGCTAATTTATGATTTAGGGTAATTTTATGTAGCAAGTATTGCTAAAAAAAATTATAAATCCTCTATTTTTCATTATGAAAAACTTAGGTTAAAAAAGGAAATAACTTGTGTGGATGCATACTGAAGGCCATAAATGCTTTTCCTTCTTACATTGACCTCACCAAATCCGCAGGAAAAGCATTTATGTTCGTCAGTGTATGTGCATAGGGCAATTTACTTGTTATTCATTTAATGGTAATATTTGCCCTGTGCATTATTGTATCGGACATAATGCCTCATTTTCATACTCGCAGAATCAACGCGGAATAAGCTGTCTTCAAGACATTCCGCGTTCCGCGCACATGGAAATGAGGCATACGGTAATACTATTATTATTGTCTAGAATTGCTATATTCATGTTTGGGGCGATGTTAAACTTCTCGTTCCGTAATAGAACACGGCATAACTTAATAGTACAAGTTATACGATAATTATTCACTAATAATTCTACAATTATTTAAACCCTTTGAGATTCTAAGTTACATTCGTGGTGACCGGATGTACTACTCTGCATTCAATCAGATCTGACAAGTAACTTGAAAGGGGCCTGCTTACTCCAATTATGAAGTAATCCGATTTACTTATTTAATAGCGCGTTTTAAAGTCGATAAATTCACCTGGGACTTTACTTTTTTTTGAATTTGTAATTTTAGAGTTCAAATAACTTTATAATTCCACAAAGTTGTGAATGTATTATANATATATCTTAAAATTTTCGTACCTGTTTCTGAATTTACAGATTACACGCTTTATCTTTTCACAAAATATTGTCATAAATAACAGTAAAATTATGTCAAAGATTACAAATTTTGCTTTTCAAAAAATCGTACCTTTGTAATTAGTTAACAGTACACTTGATTTAGTTAGCTATTTTTAATACAATTTTTGAGTATATACAGAGCCTTTTCAAATTAATAGAAACTGATTCAAAAACAAACAAATTTCTTATTACGCATCATCCAATTACAGTGAAGATGCTAGAATACGTCAATTGTTTCTCGGTTCTCTTACTTTAATCATTTTGCTACGACGGGTGACTATAGTCACCCGCCACAAAACGCCACTTACACCCGACAGGTGACTATAGTCACCCGCCACAAAACGCCACTTATACCCGACGGGTGACTATAGTCACCGGCCACAAAACGCCAACTTCATACGAACTGAAGCGCGCAATGGTTACACGTTTGGTGCGGCGCCCCGTTCTACGGGAGAGATTCCCCGGAGAAGGCCCGCCGTAGCGAAAAGGTTCAAGACTCGCGCACATTATAGCTGAGGCGGGCCGCAGCGCATCGCAATATTCCGTCTATAATATGCGATGGTCCATATAAAACCTATGAAATCGATCTCGTGCGGATTTTTGAAATGCGATGCACTGCGATGCCCCCCGGCATAATGTGTGCGAGGCCTTTACTAAACTCATAGTTTCTCGTTTATGTATTTTAAGCGAGAAGACTCTGGTTAAACATTTTTTATTTCTCTCTTGCACACTGTCTTACCAAAAGCGTAATAAGCAAATAATGCAAAACGCGCTTGGGTTAAGTAGGCCCCTAAAAATGGAACCAAATCACAAAGGGCTAAATATTAATAAGGCGTTAATAAGTTACAACGTGGATTTTGATAATGCTTCAAACTACAAGATGAATAATTATTAAAGGGTACATTTTTTAATAAGTTGATGTGGAAGTTTTACAATTAAAACTTATTATGTTATAAAATCGATTTTCTATTAACAATTGAAATCACGAAATGAGTTATTGATAAACAAACAGAATATTAAAAACACGTTTTATTGACTTAATACATGTACCAAATAATTTTATTTATTACTTGATTTTTATTAAAATCTGCAAATATTAAATTATCCCTCGTCATTGTTCATTTCAAAAGTGAATATAGTAAATTAAAGTTAACTGATTTAACGAGTAACATGTCAAAATATGAGCATGAATTCATCCTATTAGTCCCCGTTCACTTATTGACGCCTCACTGTAGACATGCATTAATAAAGTAATTTTATTATTTATACGGTACTTCATGCATCTGCAACCCTTTGCCTTATATTTTTAATAGATGAACGTACTTCATATGTCACCTGTTACTATAAGGCAAGGAATTGGTTCTTTTAGTAATGTCAAATTACTAATGTCATTGTATTGCAACCTACAATGGCCGGCTTCAGTACATCATGTCAGAAGGTAGACAATGTCATTACTTCATATATAATTCCAATAGACGTAAACAAAAAGTACTACACACACAAACAAAAGTATTACACACATTACAATCATTATATAAAATATATAAAATACACGAATAATCATTTATATATATGCAAACTATCTCAAAATTGACAAATAGTAAGTAGCGAACGTAATTTTAGAACGAGATGACGTAATAAAAGTGCTACAGATATTTTTCCAAGGTGTATAATTTACATAAATAAGTTTTCAAAATGGAGTTACTTTGATCGAACGTTTAGACAGTCACGTATCTAGGAATATGCACGCTTCATTTCAAACAGGTGGTCAAACTTTGGCTAGCCGCACATAACAATATATGCATCTTCACAAATGCGTGGCTATCTAAACCTTCGGTCCAATTAACTTTATTTGAAAAACTTATACCATGCAAACTGTGTATTTTGAACAAATTTCATTTATACTTTTATTACTTTACTTATCGTAAAAGATCCTACCCGCTACTTATTGTGCGTCGATTCTGGTACACCCCGTGTATAATGAGAAGTATACTTCTGAAACATACCTGAAGTATACTTCCTATTAATCACCCTGTATACAGGGTGGCTTATAAATAGGTTTAGTTCTGATTCAATCATAGCGTTCAAAACTGAACTTATTTATGTATCATCCTGCATGCATGAAGTACTCTAAATGATTATACGTCATGAAATTCAAGCAAAGTATCGTATCGTTATATTTAAATGTACCATCTAGTTCGATATACAGGAGCCAGCCGTATACAAGTACAGGTGCAAATAGAAGTACCGATAAATAAAACACGAACCTAGAGTGATGAGGAGACGATTCTCGAACACGGCCATGTCGCTTTCTTGTAGGGCTTAAAGATGTTGAATGATTTCTAGAAGAATGAGATTTTTTAACTGAAACAGAAAGAAAGACGGAAAAAATATAACGCTATTCATATCTTTAACTATGTCTAATGATCTCTTTAAAAATCGCGTAAGATACAAGTTCGAATAATTCCAAATCAAGACGTATCTTCTTAAAAAAAAAAAAAAATGAGATGGAGAGATTTTGGACTAAAGGAGAAAATCAGGTTCTAACAACGAAGTAGTATAAGAAAATAACGTCGTGTATCGAAGGCTGTCGTATTTTAGGGGTATCATCGTTTACGATAAATACAATAAAAACTGAAATTCAAGTAATTTTCAGAACATGATTTCAGCTCTGTAAGTAGATACAAGGTCTACCATCTAGCGGTAGGTATTATCCTAACCTTGATGTGTGAAAATGGTAGCGGGAGCACTAGAAAATTCCCCTTTACTATTCGAGCAGATTTTGTATATTTTCAAGTTATTGGTGCCGAGATAATCGGTGGAAGTGTAAAAGGTGTCACCAATGTTTGTGATGATATTGTGTTTATTAATGTATTATTGTCTCGGAATCGTTAACCTGTCACTGGTTCTGCTAGACCGATTTTCGGATTATATCTCGTTTCTCAGTGCATGGTCCATCAAAAACTGATCGCTGACACATTTTATGAATATCTAGTTTTATCCAGGTCTAGTATTTGTTGATAAATATAATTCGTTTTGCAAAATAGTAGTTTAGAATTTTACGCGATTTCCTCGTCTATGACGTCAACAATTCAAAATGGCTGACCCCCTCGCTTTAATGGACCCTTAAAGCAATAATATATTTACCTATTTTAGTATTATCCACGGTCATAATAGTACGACGCTCCTCCACTTCATTTACTTTGTCATCGATCCGCTTGAGTTCTTCACGTTCAAAAATTGGTTTACTTCCCTCGCCTGCCAAAATCAAAATGTCATATTATACAACTGTAATATCGCCAGAAAAAAACAAAATATGAAATACACCTACACTGATGGAAAAGTATGAAGTAATCCTATATTAATATAGGTGAACATTCAAATTTGATCTCTTCTTCTCATATTTAAATTAATTACAGATCATTGCAATTGTATTTTATTTTTAATACATTGTGTTTGAATACTGCATAGTAATCTTGCATATGCACTACTTATATTTTTTCTTTTGTGATATCAATACACAAGATTATTGTAATCTTCACTAAATTAGTTTCTAATTACGTGTATATGAAATTTGCAATAAAACCATTATCAAAATCAGATGTAATGAATTTGCTCGCTATTGCTTACTTTGAAAATGAACAAAATTATATTGCTTTTTAGAAATGAGACGCAATTTAAATGAATTTATATTATACATAAAGAAAAATTATTATTGTGACATTATTAAAAACTAGAAAGACCGATTCTACTGCATTTTATTTATTGATAATGATGAACCGTGTAAATTGCAATTAATCGTTATTTTACTTCAATATCATGCTAAAATCATTACTGTTAGCTATCACTTAATTCTTTAATACTGCATTTCCAAACATGATTATCTAGATCATTTTTGTTAGAAACATATACTTCTAAATGTACATTTATTACTTATTTCAAATTCTGCTCGCAAAGTTTGAAAATAATTACACTTTATGGTATATACTTGTCTCTATTGCTGAATTTAAAAAATTGCATACATATTACAAACACAGTATCCATAATCACTATTTTTCCCGATTAAATGAATTTAAAGAATCATTTTCTAGAATATAAGTAATTAATTTATAAACAAATTGCAACTTCATCTTGTTGTGTTACACTCTGAGAAACGTTATAATAATTGTACATAATTAATATTTAGAGATGAAAATAATATAAAAACGAATCCCACAGAAAGTAATAAAATCAAAAACCCAAATAAAAGGCGATTTACACTCATTCGATCCGTGTTGTCCGTCTCCGTACTGTTCATACGTTACGGAACCGGACAAATACAGATCGGATGTGTAAATCGCCCTTAACGTTGTTGAATCCGAATTATTAAGTACTTATGGTTGACTAGTTCTATACTGATATTTTGAAATAACAGTACATTTGCACACATATCTGTTTCAAAATTTTGTAAAGAAAATAATTCCACAATCACTGATATTTCATTAAAGAATATATCTGTTATGTTATGATTAATATATAAACATATATAAATATATTTTCCATTATCTTCACGCTGTTGCAGTGTCCATACTCTTTGAAAAATTTGTTCCTGTGGAGTGCTAATTTCAGTTTTTATCGTTTCAATTGAAGAATTTAAAAAGTAGTTAACCTTCCATAACATATATTCTTAGTTTTTTGGTCAGTCTAATAATGCTTTTTCTTCTGCCAAACCAAATATGTAAAGAATAGTATTAGTTTTTTTCAGTATGTATATGAAAGATAATGAATAAAATATCACAGCTAATAGAGCGACGTAAATACAAATTATTATCTCAATTTATTTGTTTAAATTAATACAGGGTGGCTCATCGGGTACGTCGGATTTCCCGTGCAAATCGCCGCGGAATCCGGCGCACCCGATGGTCCACCCGTTATAATTATTAAACAGCAAGATCTGTAGTCAAAGTGTTATATATTTCTTGTAATGAAAACGATACTTTTAATATTGTTGCAATGTACTGTTGTACCATGAACCTTTTCCGGACGTCTTCAAATGCTAATAATTTTCATGGTGGTGATATTATTCATTACAATTAAACCTTATCAAAAACTGTTTGAGTACTAAAAAAAATGTAAATCACTGTAGTATTATTTACCGCAGTGGAAAATAATAATATCAAAAAATAAATACTCCATTTTTTGATTCACCTAATTTGAACCTAAATATTCTAGTCTGTTTTCTATTACCCATATAACAATGTTTGGAAAAGTGTAAAGATAACGTTAGTTTCTTAAGCTTTGTAAGATGGATTCATTTTTTAACACAACTTCGTAAGCCATGATTCTTCCATCGCTGGTAGAACGTTGTTATTAACTTTTTGAATTTATCTTCGTTATTACATCTAAATGTCATCATCATATTTTCGATTATTTCAGTGAATAATTAGAATGGTATCACTAATTATCTTCCACATTTGCCTTCCAAAAACGGATCTTCCAGTCGTTAAAGTCCTTCAACTTGAACAAGGCGATTTAATAAATTTGCTCCAATTTGTATCAAAATAAATAAATAACTTTGATGAGCGTTACAATGAATATATATAGAACAAAGACAATCAATGATTGGTTGATCAGTTTTTAAATAAAATCTTGAACTTAATCATTAAATTTTACCAATACAAGCAATGTTGCAGATACAGTAATAGTTACACGTCGCTATTTACTCTTCGAATTAATTGTTGTTATTACATCTAAATGTCACCAATATATTTTCGATTTCTGTGAATAATTAGAATCGTACCATTAATTATCTTCCGCGTTTACCTTCGAAAAACGTATCTTCCAGTTGTTAAACATCTTCAAGATGAAATAGGCGATTTAATAAATTTACTCCAATTTGGATCAAAATAAATAAATAATTTTGTTGAGCGTTACAATGAATATATATAGAACAGAGACAATCAACGATTGGTTGATTAGTTTCTAAATAAAATCTTGAACTTAATCATTAAATTTTACTAATACAAGCAATGTTGCAGATACAGTAATAGTTACACATCGATATTTGCTCTTCAAATTAATCGTTGTTATTACATCTAAATGTCACCATCATATTTTTTAATTATTTTTTGTGAGTTATTGGAATCGTATCATTAATATTGGAATTTGTCTTTCAAAGACAACTGTTTAACTCCGTGAAAATTATATAGCCGATTTAATAAATTTGCTCCAATCTGGATCAAAGTAATTTTAATAAGTATTACGATGTATATAAATTGGATTTGTGCTATACTAATTCTTCTAGTTGTCTCCAATATTTCAGAGCATCTATCATCAATTAGACATAACATGTTATTAATTATAGCAGTAAACGCATATAAAGGAAACTCAACATTCCAATGCAAGAATAAATAACAAAAATCAGTGTCAGAGATGAGTGGGGAGATGTTTCACGCCATTGTTTGAAAGTGAGGCACGGTCCACTGGCGCCATGAAACTACTTTCAAAGGGGCGAAATGTTCTCTGTCGGTAAATAAAAACGCGTCTGCAGATTCAAATACGGCACAGTACTGGCAGGATGAAGTTATCGCCTTTTCGTTTTCAGTTTTAGGGTTAATGTATGACGGAAAAGAAGACCGCGGATTCTAAATAAAGTTGTTATCCGCGGATGGTGGAGGTCGCGGTCACGGCACATATGCACACAGTTTTACCGATCACGAAGATTTCGCCCTTTTGAAATGTTATGTGCGAGGTTGTACAAGACCGAAAGAGGCGAGATCCTAACCGAACTTGAACTCGATCGGGATTCGCGAAAGGAGATGTTCTAATTATCGATCACGCGGGTGAATAAAACTAACGAGTGTCCGTCTTTGTTCGCGGACTAGCGCCTGAAAATAAGCTAACTAGTCGAGAGAGGCTATCAAAGTCTGATGAGCCTAGCCGTGAAAAGCCGTGAGAAGCCGAAGTAAAGGAGCGTCCCGAGTGACGTCCTGAGTCAACCGAAGCCTGAGTTGAACTGGCGTTTTTTCGTGGTTAAACAAGACGCTTCCCCTGCGTCTTGCCTTCGGATGGGGAGCAACATTGTCGCCGAGTGGCTTTCCGATCGCAGGGTAGTTCGCAGAAGTGCGCCCATAAATTCCCTGAAGAGGGTTGCCTAAAACTACGTAGAATTTTTCAAGCACGTCTCCGTCATCAAGCAATAAACCAGTAAAGAGGCCCTCGCTGAGTTTAACCCTCCTCGAGGACTCTCACTGATTTATGTTAGTCATTGGAGTTAACTTATGGCCGCCCTTGTCCAAAAGACAGCCAAATTCGGAAAACCCTCGAGCGACATGTGCGGTCCAGGCGAACGGACTTTCTCCGCGGAGCGTATCCTAAACATGAAAGCAATTCCAATTTTTACGTGTTTCACTTCCGAACAATGGCATGAAACATCTCCCCACTCATGTTTGCCAGTGTTAACACCTTGCAGTCCGCCGACGATACAGAACCGTTGCAACGTAAGAAGCTTAATTTTATAATGAAAAGAATTCAAACACTAATATTAATTGGTACTTTTATATTAACATTCATTTATGGCCAAAAAGAAGCATGACCGAATATATATCATAAGATTAGCCTGCTTAAGCCAGTTAGCATTGTAGAATACTTTGTACCGTAGACTGTAAAGTGTTAATGAAGGATCCAAACATCATTCTGCGAAATAATAATGGTGCATAGTAATGGAGAGAACTTATATTCTAGTAGTGGTTTTAGTACAGTTGTAAGTGCAGATACCTATCATTCATAAAGTTAATTAATTGAACTATTAATTCTACTTATAGAAAGCTAGTGAGCATAAATGCAGCAACATTTTAGATAAAAATTAAATGGAAAGCAAAGTTACATACAAAAATGCAATTCTAAGCATATGATTACGTCTCATGTAATATTGCTGAGCTTTTATTTTTTATATCGTTATCTTGATAGTTAATTTTATGTCTACTCAGCAAGAGCAACTATTTATTAGATAAACCTAGTTAGGCATTCCATAGAAAGTGCCAGTCCAAATCCCAAAACCTAAGCCAACAATTTAATAAGAATAACTAGTATCAGTTTAGTTAAATGTATGCTCTGGCAAATGACAAGCAATTTTTAGTTTAATTCTTTGAATGGAACGAAACGGAGATCAAATTCACGTGACTAAAGGCTGTGGAAAATATCTAGTTTGAAGTTCAAATATATTATTTTGGATCAAGTTTAAGGTTCAACCTTCTCCTGATATCATTTGTTCTCACTGTCGACATTTGGAAATAGCATAGGTTTCTATAAAATCATGGACTCAACTCCTGCACACCCAGACATCGTTAGAGAGTTAGATAGTCATTCAAACACTCAAAATTCAGAGAATGTCAGGTGTAGAATTTGTCAAAATCTAATCTGTCATGTTCCATTATCTCAAGTTTAAGTCTCAAGTCTCAATTCAAAGAATGAAATCCAATATCGTATCAGTGCTATATCAGTTGACCAAGAAGCCAGTTATTTTCGCTCAAAAATATTGTACCAATTCCAAGTATTGTAAAAAAAAATAGCCTTTCAATTTCTGTCTCATTCTGTCATATTCGTAACCCCTTTTTAAAANTAAAAATTTTAAAAAGGGGTTACGAATATGACAGAATGAGATAGAAATTGAAAGGCTATATATATATATGGTAATTAATCCCGCAACAACCAACAATGAGACGTAACAGTATCTGTTATAATAGCTAGTAGTAGTATCTTACGAAAAATAGCAGGCAAAAGCAAGTTACACACAGAAATGCAATAATAAGTGCAGAGTACAAAAAATGATCTTACACTTAGGACATTGTGTACTTCAAAATTGATCCATTGTATTGATGTCAGGCAAGATGATAAATCAGTAGAATCCTATATGTTAAAATAACATTATTAATAAAACTTAAGACCCACTCACACATGAAAATTATTACCTTCATTCCAATAATCCACCAGTTTGGATGTGATGATCTTCACTCTTCTGAGGTGGGAGATGAAATCTTACATTTGCCCAAGACCCTCTTCTTGGTCACATTTACCATTTTTCTAAGTAAAAAAAATTATAAGTAAGTACTAAGTTACCTTCTCTTCTTTTTAGAACTACATCCTCGGGATTAATAATATCACGATGTAATGAAGTGGCGTCTGTTGCCCCAGGAATGTTGCGGTGTATATCAATCTTTATTCGACGTAATTCATTGACACTAACAAGTGTACCTTCTGGACCTTTAAATAATGGTACACTTCCACTTGAAGACTGACATCTTGAAGTAGAGTAAGAATAGAAAGAAATAATTTATATTAACGTTTAAGTAGTTTTCCTTTTAACAAAGTTAACAATTTTAAAATCTTACTTTTCTGGCATGATCGATAAATTTAATGTATCACACTTAAATTTGGCACTTGGTTGAATTTCTGAAGAACGACTTCTACTCTTACTATGTGACGATGTTCGTTCGGAACGATTTAAACCTTTTTCTCGTGCTCTACGTCTTTCATATTCTAATATCATCTTTTGCTTGTGCCTTTCATGCTCTCTTTCTCTTTCTTGTTGTATCAGCCATTCTCTTCTCCGTCTCTCCCGTTCTTCTTCATTCCGTGCAGATGATGAACTACGTCTCATTTCTAATTATAAACATAAAAACATTTTTATATCCATATATTACTTCCAAAAAGATTTATTATAAAAATTAAATAATTCGCTAGTTATCAATGGACATGGTAGATGCTCAGAAAAGTACATCATGTTCTTTTTTTCACCAAAAATGTCTTTTGTTGTATTTCTGATGACTGAATACATAATTAAACACTTGGAGAATAGTACGACATTTGTATAAACACATTTAACTGAAATCCTTGCTCAGTATTAATCATATTTTAGCAAATTCATAGCGGTCAACATTATTTCTACTTTGTCAATATGTATACTAATAATTCTTGTACCACATATGCCCAGCATACTTTTATTTATAAATATATTTATGTATATTTTAGTTATTTTTAAGATTTTAATGTAGGAGTGTTCAATCCACGGACGGTGGGTCACATGTAGTCCTGGACGTCTAATAACACAGCTTCACAAGATTTTACAATACAACACTGCAATCTTTAGTGAAGTATTTCATGGTGTAAGTGCTTGGTACTCGAGCACAGATTGCATAAATAACAAAGGAACACTGAGCAGATAGACGTAATGTAGGAATGATGAAGTCTCCTGAAATGTGTTTGTGTGCCTCGTTAGTAAAAAAGAAAAAAAAATGCGTGCATTTCATAGGCAACCAGAACAAGTCAAAAGGTTGGACACTCCTACTTTAGTGATTACTATGTTTCGCAAATTCCCCTTATAATCAAACGTGTTTTGTGACTCCAAAAAGGTTAAGAATTCACTGCTTTATTCTATGCCTGGAGTAAAAATTGTTTTGAAAACAGAATACCCGTTACTAGATAAATCAACAATCACAATCCTAGTAAACAGAATTTCACACAACTTGAACAAGTCCTCTCACGACGACGCTTCAAAACTCACCGTTTCGATCTTTCGACGGTCCCATCCGGTTCGGATTCTAAATTCAGGTATACACAGGCATTCGACCCAACAACTAAACCGAACGAAGTCGAAAATGGCCGACTGCTTTCAGTGGTAGGCTGTAGGCGTCCAAAAATGAGAAGAAACTGTACACTGTATTATATAGTTATACTGCATATTGTAAGCACATGGGATCTAATAATTATTTTTTTCGTTCCTACTTTTTATGACATGAAATTTTAGTCACGTCATTTATTTTAAATACGATCATTTTTTTTCAGTTCAATTTTCAGTAAAATCGCGATTTACAAAAATGAATGCACTTTCTTTATTTTTCTTTGAAAAGTTAATTATAGTTTAATAAAACGTATATTTTATTTAAAATTTAAAATATTTATTTTATTTAAAAATTTAAAAAGGAGTACCTATCCGTTTGCAGTCAATATCTTCAGTTAGTCCTAGCAGGGAAAACTTCACACGGATTTCAGCAAAATTAAACTAGTTCTAAATTGCTATCAAGTTTTCCATGCCACTTTCCCAAAGAGCTTTGAATTCTGTATTCAGACACATGTGTTCACTTAAATCACGATTGGTAAAAAAATAGATTAAGCTAGTCAAGCACCGATATATGAAGCCAACCTACGGTTCGCCTTGCTTGGCTACACTAGACAGCAGTGCTGCCAGAAACGCCGCACGACTGTCCCCTCCAAAAATCTCGTAGCGGGATTTTTCCCCCACTTCTTGCCTACTCCGCTTTGCCCCTCAGCGTCGCCGTGGCCGTCGAGCTCTGATAGTTTGAAAGTAAAGTTATGTTTGTTTACTTCATGAAAAATATACGAATTTAAATAATATTTTGCAATAACCCATACAAGTACTCATGATAGTGATGTAACGAACAAGTTACGGTATACAACGATTAATAAAAATCAATCTCACCGATGAAGGAGATAACCTTCGCGTTGCGTCTAATATTTGACATTAAACAAAATTTGGGGTATAGTCAGACTGATGAGATAACCAATCAGAAAACAGTAGAAAGAGACTGAGTGGCACGAACTACTTCCTTTCTCATTCTATCGGGCGGTCGTTTTCTTCAATGTTGGCAACAATAGATGCTCAGTTCATACTTAGACCATATATATCTAGACCTCGCATTGGATCTCCCACTCCCAGATTTTGAGTAAGCAGAATGCCTTTAACTGTGTGGGTGAGTCGTCGGGACACGTGGTACATTCGTTTACCCCTTCCACTGCAAGGCGATCTACATAAATATATAGTCTAAAATCTGATTGGATCCGGGTGCCGTCGGCACACGTGGTTATGTGGTATTCGAGTATACCCCTTCCACTGTTATGCGAGGTCTAAATATTCATGGTCTAAAAGTATAGTATATGTCTATGGTCTGCGCAGATGCGAAACCGTAAGATTGGTAAGGGGGGTTGGGGAATGAGGAGAAGGGGAGCTGAAGAAGTCACGGTAGGGGTATAGGGACATGGGGGAAAATCCCGCGCGCGGATTTTTTTCCCCTTTCTGGCAGCATTGGTGCAAGCGTGGACTAAAAAGGCGGGAAATTCCAATATGATTATTTCAATCGAGATAACGTAATCCATGGGACCGGTTCTTTAAATCAAAGATATATTAAAAGATAAGCTATATTTGGAATAACTTTACCTCTAGACATTTCCACTCGAGTACAGGTAAGATGTCCTAAAATTTATAACGAAAATAATTTTATTGAGTAGCTGTGAAATCTTTCTTCCAAGTGCTATTGCACGTATACCTAATTCTTGATATACTTTAAAATTCACTTAAAAGCTTCGCGTTATATGGAGAGTGAAAGTTAGTTATTTATAAATAAGGTATTACTTAATCTGATATGATTGATTAAGCGCTTACCTTGAAATAGTATATTTGCGTTATCTTCCCTATTTTTCCTCGCAGTAGCGGTCCATTTTCCTTAATTAAATGCGAATCTATTTCGTTACGAATTTAAATTAGAACTCCGGGTATACAAAATCGTTAGTCCCTGGTCCTCCATGGCGCTGATATCATAGCAACCTTTGTGAAGTTGGCAACTAGCAGTCCATACTTTTATAGTCAAAACTTCAGACTGCTTTGGGATTAGCTTATTGAACACAACTACTCTAGTCAACGGCGGAGTCGTGCGAGTTGCTTTAGCATCAGTAAATAAGATTTCTTCAGTGCTCAGCGTCGCTTCACCCAGTTCAAAAGTTCCACGTGATAAATATGTTTCCATTTTTTGATATCTCCTCAAGCTACACGAGATCATTCTGGATCCGTTGATAAGTTTCTCGCTCCGTATCAACATTGACGTAGTTCGTTGAGACGCGACAGCGGGCGACACAAGGTTGGCAGTAGACGAGTACCGTCGAGGTCGTCGGGCTCGTGAACAGGTCGGTTCTGTCTCACTCTGCATCTTAACTTTGCCGTATTCGTGATCTCCTTTTTTCCCCTGTACGCTTTAAGCAGGCGTCGTATTAGTTGAATCCGCAGTGCCGAAATTCGACGGGGCACTCGATCGACGTTAATTGGATGTTTCGATTAAAGTAAGACGAGCGAGACTGACGGTGCAGAATAGTGATGAAGCTTTGAGATTCATCTTGCCCGTCGGCATCGGTGAGTGGTCTTCTCGGATATCTTTTCTCAGTATGCGCCAATCGCTCTTATATTTAGGCTTATTTATAGATTTCAAAATTGGAGCAAGCGCGCCCAGGTACGGTTTCTCACGTTACGTGTCATTCTTCGAAGTAGTTATTCGTCGAGGACGTGTAGATCTTTTTCGCTAAATAAATGTCGCAGCGGTTTAAAAACCTTTATCTCTCTCACAGGCTTCGTACAGTAGCGTCTTATTCATTAGTAATTAAGGTTTGATAGCGCGGAATGACGTCAACCGCGGAGGGTTGGAAATTCCTGATATACGTGTATTACAAGGAATGCGATGATTCGACTTTCTACGACCTTTGCCTAGTAAACAGTTAGGAAGAGTTGTCGGGTCAATGGTCCCTTCGTGAACCGTTATCTTATTGATTACTGACGAAGTATATTTTTCCATTGAAATTATGTTGCAAATGGTTCCATTGAAGTTAGGTCGTAAATAAGGTATGAACCCCTTGTCAAAGTGTAGATCGAAAATTGTATATCAAGATTGAAATTATTGAAGTTTATATAAGACTGCAGGGTATGTTTGAGATCTTGAAGTGTTAATAGGTCTAGTGAATCGAGGTTAACTGATCTTTAAAAAAATGCATATTTACAGAATTATTGACATGTAATTTTCACTACGTTAAAGTGTTTGTCAAAGTTGTTCATTTAGAAGCAATACGCTATTTGTGCCAAATATTTAATCTGGATTGCAATAGTCTCTCTTCCTACTGTATTAACATTGTATTTATAAGACATGATAGACAATATTAATAAATTCATATTGATGGTGTCATTCTACTATAGGGTTACAGAATGTCTCAGAGGAGCAACAACAAAATGTTGAATCAGTTGTCGTCCCTGTTGCCTGATGATCGGCCGATCACTGCCATTAGTGTTGTGGAGGATATAGACAAATGTCCACCAAATTTTACCGTTGTAAGTGTTTTTTGCTGCTTAAACAGTACATACAGTAAATTAATGATTTTATTATGTATAAGAGAAATTTGCATACATTTCTCAATGTACTATATTTAAAAGATGCTGTAGGATGCGAATATCTTCCTTATGGATACAGTGCTGCTATTGTATGGTGGGATGGCATTTGTGTACATCAGTTAACATAATAAGAATTTAGGTCATATATACACGTGGTACAAAATCTTGATCTTCTGTATTTTAGACATATTTTACTATTAATACGTGATTATCAATGATAACGTTAATGTAAGCATAAATTCAAAATTTGTATACATTTTTGCAGGTATCAAGAACATATGATCAGGATTCAGATGCTGATTTATGGAGAGAAAGTGGGCTTTTTATTAAGAAGAAAGGCAGGTACATCTGTTTATCAAAAACCGAAGGTGTACCTCAGTGTGTAGTCGAGGACATTGCAATTATTAATGAAAGGGATACCCCTCCTCATGGATTCAGTATGATATTACGTACAGTCGATTCCTGTGAGTAGACAATTTAGTGTAATTGATGGAATTTTTTTCTACATAGTTATCTCATCTAATGAAAACAAATTATAGTGCAGAGGGCATGGAGGAAAAAGCAAATGTGCTACAAAGTTAGAAATAAGAGTTTATGCTCTAAAGCCGTAACGGATATCATCATATGTAGTCGTATCAAGAAAGCACCTGCAGGTTTTACGTATGCTGGGTAAATTGTAATGTTTTTAATATTTGTGATCGATGAAGGCGAAAAATAGTAAATCAATTTTATTCACTTTCAGTGAAATAAATGGCGTCATTGTTTGCTACAAAACTGAGAACATCACCAGTGGAGATTCAACTTCACAACCATATGCTAATATAAAGTACGTTAATTTACACAATTATAGTAGACCTGCTATTTTTTTTTATCTAATGAACATATCTTATTTAATGGCATAGCATTTTTCAAAATGCATCACCAAATCCTTCCAATGGAGTTCCTCAAAGAGTACCACCTGAGAGGCCACCAAAGCCTAAATTTTCTCCAAAACCTCCAAATGGAATATATCCGCAAATCAATGTGGCTGGCGGAAAATCAAAAACTGAAGAGTTAACAGACAGTGACTATGAGGTACTAAGTCCTAGCGCTAGAATCAAACCTACACGACCCGCACCTCGGCCTCCTACTTTGACGCCAGCTAGTTCCGTACCGATATATGGAACGTTGCCTGGATCCTCTGATTTAGATGGAGTTCCTTTTGTTCTAAATTCTGCACTTAACGCGCATCGGAATTTCCTCAATGTAAGTAAATACCACAAACTCCTTTTGATCATTTTCATTAGTCAGAACGATAGTATAATTTCTTTTTATATTGCCAGGGTACAATTCCTGTAATTAAAGTCAGAACACAGAAGGAACTGGACAAAGAGGTGAGATTCGTGTTGAATCATAAATACATAAATTTATCTCCCTATAGTATAGTTTAAATATTGCAAATTACTACAGAATGTGTACTGTAATGATACAATTTAACAAGATCCTAATGAATCAATTTTTCAGTATTTCTATGAATTTCGGGCGGAGAAGGAAACTTGAAGGAATCGTGCCAAATTTATTGTGCGAAGTAACGTTCGGATCATAAGCCACATCTGTACGTTTGTAACCTAGCACTAGCTAAAATGCTAAAATATAATAGAGTGCCTGAACGAGTGATTTATAATTATCTGCGAACAAAAAGTCGTATACTGACATAATATAGTGGTAAAAAGCACGAGCGAATGGCTTACACTTCTTGAGTACATCCTTTTTCTTCCAAGCCCTGTGCACATTTTGATACCGGTGATAATTAGTATTGTATTTTTATAGACTTGCGTTGTATTTTTATAGTCCGTAGAACTATGTGTATAATTGTATTATACGTTCTAGTTGTTTATAAAATATTATGGGGTATTTAATGCTATTATATTGAGATATATTCCTACTTCGTACTTGAACAAGAGACTTCAGTTTATCAATAAAGTCACTTTAATTTTCATTTCAGGTGTGTTTATTCTTACCTTTTTATAAAAATCAACAGATTTTAAATGATTATTAAATAAAGCAAAAATATATAATTTCTTTAATAATACGATGGTATATGCAATTAAAAAATTTTAATACATAACTTAGCAATGAAAGTACTTGGAACAAGGAGATGCACCTATGTACAGTTTTATATTGTTATAGCTGTTAAGAATATCATTATAAATTGCAGATATGTGAGACAAACAAAAACATCAATGAGTCACATTTATGACTTGTTTTTAATAAGTGCCAAAGATTGGATATCATCGGACATTGTGTAATTCATTTAGTATTGAACTGGATGTTCTGTTTTAGTATATGTAATTATTTGTGTGAAGAATATTTGTAATAACTTTAGACAGTATTAATTATACTACAGAATTCGAAATTTCATCAAAATAATATTTCAAAAAGCCATTGAACACTGTAAATCTGAATCTATTATTGCCTAAGAGTAAATATCAACTTTTTTTCAAGATCTAATACTCAAAATGATTAATGTCTGAGGTTCTGTTCCAAGTTACAACTGGGCACATTTCGGAAAATTGTTTAAATTAAAAAGTACAATGTGTATATCATTCATTTTTATATTCGAAGAAGGTTTTGTAGTTTATGGCATTACACTTATTATTTTCTATATCGGAACAGAGTGTTATCTTGAGCAAATGGCATAGGAATTCAAAAGCCAGAAAACGAAACCTGAAAAGTAGTACGCATATTTTATCATAATCCCAATAAAAAAGTGGTGATAATAAATTTATATATTGTCACTTTCCTTTAATACTAGTAAGAAGTACACAGCTTTTAAATCCCTGTATTATTATCAACATTTTTCAAAAAAGCATCTCATTGTTTTATTCCACACTGTTTCCACAGTTAAAAAAAATATCTTTATGAATTTTGTTTGGTTGAAAGAAATCACATATCAAGCATATAAAGTATAATTTACTCAACGTTATAATGTATATATTTCCAATAGAGCTGGTCTTTGATAAATTGACTTAACGATGCCAAGAATATGTAGTTTCCTGCAGCATTTCATTGTTATCGCAGCGCACAATAAGAAAACCTAAAAGTCCACGTAACACAGTCTAAGTAAATGAATGCTTAAAAACTATTATATCTATACCTTTATAAATGTATCAAAGATCACAATAAGTCAATACGTTATTGTAATTAGCAAACACTTCCAACACTATATAAAACTGGTATTGTTATATTAGCGTCATGTTCGCATTCATCAAGTACGATAGCCTCTACACACCAAATCCATGAGAGGACTCGACGCGGAAGTATAAAAACAAACACAATATCAAAAACTTTCTCTCAAGCATAGCAGAGAAAGCCTTGAATTTCAATACTTCGCGCACTCGAGAAATAATTTCAAAAGTCGTTCGTCCCAACAAATAGCGTTTGCACATAACGGAATTTATTTCATATATCGGATTTTATTTGCCACCCCTTCTTTCCCATTTTACGACTCCGCGGTTACATGTTAATTTTGTTTTCAAAGTGTTCAAAGTTGACGGTAAGCAGTCAGAATAACGTTTATCACGCGTGCGTGGAAATTTCTAACCTATATCTCTTGAGGTTAATGGGGTTTCCAAACAGGTGATCTTCCTAGCGACCGATTTTGGTTCTACTGACTGTTGTGAACTCCTCAAGGTCCCCGAACAGGTTATATCTAATACTTTGTTTATATTTTATTTACGAGTAACTACAATCTCCTCAGACAGGGAATTCGTTACGAGACCGTCCAAGGAAGGAATCGGCAAACGTATTGTCAGACAAATGGTCCCGTCCAGTGCTTGACGTGAGTGTGAGTCGCGCTGGTAACTGATATGCCGTGCTTCTCGAATATGGCGGTGGCTTTGATTTTGTTTTTGTACTTGATATCCTTGGGTTTGAGCATGCTCTTATGGTTGCTCAAGAGTCTGGAGGGCGTCAGGATGGACTTGTTGCTTAATCCGGTCGCCTCCAGGAAATGGTCGTAACCACCATTCAGCACATTCTCGTTCTCCTTGATCCTGACCTGGTTCTCGTTGTGGTTGGTGATAACGAGATTCCCGAGTCTATCCGACCCATCCCCTTCCAGTCTATCGGGATCGTCCGAAAGGTCGCACTCGTCTAGATTGAACTCCTCAAAGTTTTGTCTGATATCGAAATCCTGTTCGATGTCCGCTACCGGTCGATCTCTGTGCCTGTGAGGTTCCCTTGAACGGTCTTCGGTATCTCCACCGATTTTAAACTCCTCGAAGTGTCGAACGATATTAGTCACTCGAGGTGTTTTTTTAGACATAGGCCCTGAGAGATCGACGGTGTTCGCACTCTGTTTGGTCTGGAAGGAAGATCTTACGTCGTTGAACCTATTTTTTCCAAAGCCAGGGTCGCCCAATTTAGTGCACTTTACCGTGGGCTCTTCCTCTAAGCCAAGACCCGGAGACGATCCAAACCCAAAAAGGCATTTAGCCCGTTCAGATCTTTCTATCCCATTTTTCTTTCGCGTTTCGTCGATAAGAAACGAGGGACTAGGAATCTTTTTCAGAACCAGGGTATTGTTCTTAAACTGAGGTTTAGGTGGCAGAGCAGGAGGGGTCTTGGGTACCGACGGGATTACTTCCGGTAGTGATTCTATGTCTTCGTAATCCAAGTTCTTTGCTATGGTCAATCCCTTTGTCGACATCTGAAGGCAGGTCTTCTCTTCGATGCGTTCCATATTCAAGGTCGGGCTGACGGGCTGGTTTGTCGTCTTGATCTTGTGTTGAGCTACGTGAGACAGGATTCTTCGTTCATCAAAATCCGACTTTGGTTCAATGATCACGATAGGAATGACTTTCGGCTCCTCGGATTCCTCTTCTGCGCTGGATGTCGATTCCAGAGACCGCTCGGTGCTATCCGTAGGAGGCTGGTCCATCCTCATACCGAACTCATCCTCGGAAGCGGTTCCTTCGAAACCGGCCACTTCTTCGACGTGGTCGCTTCTGCCAACCTGTTCCTTCTCCGTGGTCGCTTCGTCGGAGTTCCTTCTCTCCATTTCTGAACCCACGGATTCTATATCGGATAGCCTTGCCGGTTGGAACCGGACGATCCGACCTCGATGTTTGAATCTCCTGGGAACGGAAAGGACGTTCTCCTCTTCCTCCATGTCCCTAAGAAGAATCTGATTAACGCACTCCAGGACGGAGTTGTGGTTACTGTTAGGTCTATACGAGTTGTGCCTGAAGACGTCGTCGCTAACTCGATCTTCGTCAGGGTCGCTGTACCAGTTGCCGCTGGTTTCCTCCAGAGTTTGGTCTTGTACCGGTTCAACGTTCGAGCTTCGGTTTAGGACGTCGCTCCTCGTGGTGATGATCGTCGGAGCCCGTTCTTCAAGATTCTTAACGTTAGCCTCCGTGCAGGAATTTGCATATATTGGCTCGTCCTCATCTTCGGAGACGAAGTTGCAGTCCAGCCCGTCGTCGTTGCTGTCGCACCTAGCCATTGCCCGCTTAGAATTCTTCATCTGTTTCGCTCTGATCACGCCTAATCTCCTCTTTTCTGTAGTCGGGGGCTCTTCGTCGTCCATCAGCGTCGTCTCGTTCTCGCTATCCGTTACCGTGGTCGGCGTACATCTTGTGGACTTGTTCAAGGTAGAGCCAGGCGATACGTCCGTGCTCTCGCCTTCGCAGAACCCTTCCGTACTTAGTAACGATGGACTACCTTCCGTGGTGGTGGTGATAATAGAGGCATCCGTGTTCTCGCTGCTAGTTAGACTGGTCTTGGAGATGTCGCTGCCAGCGAAGCTGTGCATCTTCCTGATCCCATGATCCTGACGGTCCTCGTCCTCCGCTGCGTTCAGCTTCGTGATAATCTCGCATTTTAAATTATGTATGTCCTTGCTGAGGCTGCTGTTGGGTCGGGAACCCAACTCGCTGCTGCTGGACACGCTTTGCAGATCTGCTGACGTCTTCTCGGTCGAGGTCTCATCCTGATCTTCCTTTGACGATCTACCTAATGTTTGCTCGCGCTTTGACTTGATGTAGTTCTTCGTGTACCGCCTCAACTTCGCGATCTCCAGCTGCTGGTTGCGGATCACGTTGTCCTTCTCACACAGGAGCTGCCGAATGGACTTCTGCTCCTGTTTTAGACGGCCTTCCAGGACGAGGAGAGCTCTCAGGATCCGGGAGAGCTGCTGGTCCCGGAGTGTTCGCTCCGTCTCGAGGCCAGCGGTTCGGTTATCTAGCTCTCTCACCAGGTCCCTGCACCTCTTCGTGGCCACCTTCAGGGCGTCCCGAGTTCGTGCAAGTTCCTGTTTTAGGTTCCGCACCTCGGTCTCCATCTGGAAAAGCGAGGAAGGTGTTATTAATATACGTAAATTACCACAACGTAAATCAAAGGAAATTTGTACGAAGTATTTATAATATTACTTTTTTTATTTCATATTATAAGAGACAAAAGTGGTTACAATAATTTGGGCATTTCTTTTATCAGTCTGTATCTAATTCTGTAGTCCACTATTTCGAATTCGAAAAGAGTCGTGGAATTAAAAAAAACAAACAAACAAAATTGCAACAACTGTTGCAGTTTTACCACCGGTGTATTTATAGATCATTGTTGCGAAAAACGTATGGATCAAAGATTCTCTCGTCTCGAGCATAAATTTTGCATACTTATAGTGTTATTAACCTTGTTTTTTTGCTACTGTTTATGCCCTGAAACGGATTGTAGACGCCAGCTTCATGAATATTTATATACAACGTTACTTTTTTAGCCCATCCTTATGTGAATATTTTTCAAATGATGCAAAATATTCGTATGTTAATTTAAGTTGAATTTGAGGAAACACACGATATGAAAATAAAATGAATTAAAAAAAATTGAGTTTTAATGAAAGAATGTTTACTGAAGAGCTCTTCCTTAAATTTTGTATTTTCATAACTAATACTTCGAAGTTCATTTGAATATTAATAACCACCCTCCCCTATAATGACGATTGATGCATTTCGATAATGATGTCAAGTAAACACAATCTCTTGTCTTAGCATAACTATTTTCGCAAATAAGGAGACATTAAAGTGAGTTGCTTGCGGTTTTTGAGACGGTGGCTCATGTTTCGCTCAGAAGACCCTTCAAAAAAAGAGATAAACCACAACCATATCGACAACGTCCTACCGTGTTAAGTTATGTACATTGTTCACGTTATTTGTATGATGATATAAGCACCTTATTTCGTAGAAAAGTTGCAACAAGTTGTGGGAACATTAAATTCTAGAAATTCAATTTTCTATTGAATCCCCGAGCAAGGAATGGAGCGATCGATTTTTTGCAGTTATTTCTAAAGTCGATGTATGTCAAAAGGTCCGTTAGAGGTGGTATAATAAAACGGCGAGTATTCTCAAAAGCCTTTCATTCCACCGGGTGTCTGCCATTGTCCGATCACGTTTAAAAAGTGAACGCAATTGAAGGGTTCCAAAGGGAACAGATTCATTGTGCCATGCGTCGAATGATGTATGGCGTTTTCGATTATAATTAATTTGTGTAGCAATTTTATTACTTTTATTTTTAATCACATCCTCGGAAAATGCTTGTAAACTCGTAGACAAAGAAAATCTATACTCGGCAAATTGTTGCGTTACGTATGAATGTTAAGCACGCATATAAATATAAAAAGTTTAAGTCAGTTGAATAAAGAATGTTTAATAATATTTTCAGTTATTAAACTTCAAGTTTTATTCGAGTTTGCTTGAGTATGATTCGAGACATTTATGATTATTATTAAAAAAAAAAAAAAAGAAAGACACTTGGAAGTTTCAGTTTCATTGAGATTGCGTTAAATATCCATATACGTGTAAATGCAAGAAGCATGCCGTAATTCGGCAAGGAGGCTGCGAAACGACCGGTAAATTATTTTCACGGCTCATATCGCCCACTTTATCTTCGGCGGATCGTGTTAATACGAAAGATCGAAGGTCGGCCATGCACCGTCGATAAAATCTCGCGCGTACAGATGTTTGCAAAAATGGTTTCCGCTATTCGATTTCAAGATTCCTTACAAACGTATTGAACGGTTCAAGTTCGTTGTCCTTCTTTTCTAGACATCCCGCGAAAGTGATATAAGAGAGATTCACAAGTGCCCCTATATAAGGAATATATGCATGGCATCATTGTATCATATTATTACTATAATCGTTAATTTATTAACAAAAATAACAATTTTCTCACTTTCTCTTCCGATTCGTGGTTCAGAATCGAACGGTATACCCATTTATGCAAATGTCAGTACATAACTTGATTCCGCCAGCTTAGCGTATTGACGTTGCGCTGCACTTTCTCGACCACGGCGTCGTAAATGAATTTATATTTTCCAGATAAGCGTATGCGTGCATTTAACAAGATCGTGTCCGGTACAAGTCGCGAAGGTTCGGCGGTAATTGCACGCGTTGCGATATTATGATATACGGCACTTAACTTGACGCTCGGTCAGACTAAATGAGCCGAGTAGGTACATGGAATACCGAGGCTGTACCGAGAAATTATCTATGTTGCAAATTATCGCGGGCGTACCGATCTTAGCGATCGGTGAAAGAGTCTCGTTAAACGAGAGTTTTCCACCATTATTTTCAGCAATCCGTTCGGCAAACAGCGCAAACGTCGATTCCGAGGGTGGAGAAAAATTAACCGATAACTTCCGCGCGGAATGCGGTTTTTATTATTGTTTTAGGCGATAATTCTACAGAGCACAGCTCCACATTGTATTACCTGTCGTTTCAGTCCCGTGAATTTATTGCCGAAATAATTACACCCTGTAACCATTACACTTCAGCGGATATACGCCTTCAAAATAGTTCTGCCGTAATTTCAAACTATATCCAATTTTAATACTAAATCACTTATTTCTTGTCTCGATACTTTTGCAGCGATCACATTTGCCATGAATTTTGCATAAATTCGAATTTCAGTAAATCCCAAACTAATCTTGTTACATCCATTTTCTATCTATTTAACTGAGCATTTAACACTTTAAATATTCTTCAGCTTACGAATGCAAACAATTGCCGTAATTAAGACGCTTGTAAAGAGGGTTAACAGTGACGTCATTTTTGAGATAGTCAAATCGTCGTCGAACAGAATCTGTTCGGTTCACAATCGGTAGGACACGAAATAAAGGAGCAATCGTCTCGGTCGAGTGGTGTTACGACCTAAGGACAGGTATTTATCGGTTCTTACATCGGCGGTACACGTAAGGAAGGATGGTACGAAGCAGTTGGGGGAATCCTTGCGAGAGCGCAAATTTACGGCGAGTCCATTCACAGGAAGCCGCAAATTTTCGCAGCACGCTGTAATTACGAAGGCAGGAACGTGACTACCGACCTGGTAGCCTCGCTTCAACCGAGGGGACTTTAAGCAGTCGAGTACCTATGCGTCCTTTTAAAGCGCCTTAACGCCAATACGTCTCGGTACGCACCTTGAGGAGGCACTGTCTCGATTAATGGCCCCATGGACTGGTCTAGGATTAATCGATCAGTCGATTACGATCCTCGAAAATGGGGCCGGTGTTAATTGTAATTAGAGGCCTGATGACGATCGAGCCAACATATTGCGGGGGAATCCCCCGGACAATTGCGGCACGCGAGTACGGTGAGAAGTTGATCGCGATCGAGAGATAGCCCAAGGGTTTTTCTTCCAGGGAAGTCGTAAGATCGTGATTTAAGTTGATGATTTATCGACACGGATAAATTTATCGCAGGCAGGATTGGTATCTTTGTGGGACGTATCTAGCTGGGGAAAATCAGACCGCGAGTTAATAAAACCGTACCTATACTGTGAGAACAACTCCGGATAACCACCGTCAACGGGTATATTTCCCATTAAGGAAACTCGTCGTAACAGTTAATGTCGGTATACAGTACATCGGAGAGATGAGCGGGTGGACGTCTACTTTGCGGGCTCAAAGTGGAACACAGTACCGAAATGTATGCTGCCGACTTTCTCCATCCACGAGCTCATTTTGGATGGAATAGGTCAGCCGACAGTGACCAGTTATTTGTTGCGCTTATTCCGCCTTGAATAATATTTTAATCATTTTTAAGCGGTTCCGGAACGTTCGTTCGGCTGGACTACTACAATGGATAATGGTTGAGTAACCTGAAGGTTCGACCGAGACGTTATTCATGCAGCATTATCGAACCAAAGGGAAAGTAATAAAAGTATTAAACTATCTTATGCGTTCGCACGATTCGTAAATTACTAGACTTGTCATCGATGTCAATGAAATGTTATCTCATATCTTACAGTCATGGGAAACGTGGAATACAAGGTTGAGTTCACTCCTTTGAAGCCGACACTAATAAACTGCGATGCTTTTAAAATCTCGACGTTCAGGCGAATGTTAACGTCCAGACCGTTATTTGCCTTACACAAATCAGCCGGAATCAATTCCTCCAAGAGAAGTCACTTAAACTTGAAGTAAATGTCTTTTATGCTTTAGCGTAAAGCTCAAAATCTATTGGAGGCAATCCAATCTCCACCTCGCACGGAAATGAAGAGATAACTCTCGAGTGCCGCCTTGGTCTTTGAGAAATTATCGCGAACTTTGCGCGTTTCTTTTCCCCCTTGTAAAAGAGAGAGTGGTAGCCAGGGAGTGCTCATTTGGAACATTGATCACGGAATTGTGCATTTCTAATGGACAACGAGCCTTCTTCGAGTGACGTCACGCAAACCCATGGTGTCACTACGTGGTGCCGCACCGTCACACGGAACACTTTCTCCGGAGGTGTCGAGGCCGTACGGTACGATAATTACGCAAACCGCGTGCCATTTCTTCCCCTTAATCCTTGCTGTTTTGTAAATAGCGCTGCACTGCACACACTGTGCACAGGGCATTACGATAGGACATCGGTATATACAATCGGCAATTCACCTGAAATCGTTATAACGCGTAAGACGAACACGTTTACAAGATCCCAATAGATTTTCAGGTATTCTATGGGAAGCATGTGTAATCCCTACGGGATACCAAATTTAGCCAATTTAAACAGCCAATGGTTTGAAGGAATTATCTTTGAATAAAGTCATTTAACAACTCGAGTTGAAATTTCATCCTTTTGTCCTATTTCACTCATTAAGTCCTACTTTAGACTTACAAGTAAAAGAAATGGAAATCCCTGCCATTCAGGTTTAAAAGAGGACTTCAGTTGTATAGAAGGCTCTTCTTTATATTATTTCAAAACCCATGTAAGGCCTACAATTAGAGGTTCTAAATAGAGTCAAATTATGACTCAGAAGGACGCGAGTAGAAATGTTAAGACAAGGAAATTAAAATCAGGATTCATTAAATTT